CGCCTCATCCCCGCTCTATGCACCCGTGCGCTGGGCCAGGGAGCCTTCAGAGTGGACGCCTGGCTCAGCTCAATTTGGGTCCGTTCCATCCTGTTCCACCAGCACGGCTGCCACTTGCTTTTGCTAAGTCCTGGGGCTAGAAACTTGGGTAGGAAGAGGCCCCTGTCCTCAAAGGACCTCCCAGTCCAGGTGGGGAGACCGGCACATGCAGAGCTCGTCACATCGGAAGTGCTGGGACAGCGCAGTGCACGCCATTTGGGAAGGACCCAGAGGAGGAGGTGGAGTGTGGACGGGTTCTGCTCGGGAGGGGAGAGCAGGGCCGGTTCAGGTTGCAGGGAACTGGTGGAATTTGAGCCAGGCCTTGACGGACGGTAGAGAAGGGGACGAAGGGCATCAGGCAGAGGGAACAGCCTGAGCTCAGGCAGGACAGCATGAAGGGTCAGGTTTCCAGCGGCTGCTGCACTGGAGGAAGTGGTGGACAAATCGGCTAGACAGGGCGGTTGAAGCCAGATCATGAAGGGCCTCAAACGCCAGGCTGAGGAATCTGGCCTTATCTTGTGGGCAACGGGAGCCATAGAAGGTGTGGGAGCAGGCTGTGTCTGCCCTCAGCGCTAGCACAGGAAAAGGCACAGGGGGTGCTCAGCCTTGCTCCCTGATTTGTTGATAGGTGTCTGACTGGGTCAGAATGACCCGGGACTACTGGACGACTCCCGCCAGGAATAGCAGGCCCTGTGTGTGGCTACACCTCTTCTCCTCCATTAGCCCTTCGATGGGATGACGGGCAAATTATTCAACCTGTCTGAGCCTCAGTTTCCAAATCTGTAAAATGGGGACAACACACCAGCCTGGCAGGTTTTGAGGATGAAGTGAGAAGAGGTGAGCACAGCACAGCAGGTGCGTCACTGAGTCTTGTTAGATGTTGACCAGGTAGCCTGGTGGGCAGAGCACAGGCTCAGAGGGTCTGCATTTGAATCCCAGCTCCGCCCCCCTGGAGTGCCCATCTCTCAGGGCTGGTGGGAGGATTGAAGTCAGGAGTTGACACACAGGAAGCACCCGACACTGAGCGGACGCTCGGTAACTTTGTTCGCAGCCTCATCTGACCAGGCACGAGCAATCCTGCTCCCCCTCTGCACTCCTGGGAGCCGCCCCAGGAGGTATTTTCTATGTGCCTTAGCTCCCTGTCACTCACTGTCAGCTTACCTGTCTCTCAGCACCTGTCACACCGCAGACGTTCTGTGCCCTTGACTTGCCCAAGGTCACACAGCAAAGAACTGGGCAAGTGCACACCCAGAGTCTGGGATTTAGAACCACCGGCTGCAATGTGGGGTTGATGGATCCGTCCCCAGGGCTGTCGTGAGGCCCAGATGGGGTGACAGGTGTGAGGGCGCCGGGCACAGGGCTCAGGCTGGGGAGGAGAAGCGGTGTCTTGTCCACCTCCACCTCACTGGCCGGAGAACAGGGACAGGAGTCCAGGGAGGCTGGGCATGCCCACAGTCATGGCAGGCGGTGGGCAGAGCCCCCGCTCCCTGTCCCCAGACCCTCTCTCTCCCAGTTAGGGGCGGGGGCCATCCCTCCAGGGCCTTTTCCTCCCCAGAGAGTGGAAACTTCCAAAGTCCCTCTGACCGACAGGAGGGTGGGAAGAGCAGGAGTTCCTGCCGTGGGACACAAATCCAGAGCCTGGGGCTGAGAGCCGGAATCCCCAGGTTAGCCAAGGTTGCTCCTCTGCCCCTTTCACACCCCACCCGCCCCTGGGGACCTGCAGGAAGCCCTCACGCCCCTCCCAGTTGATCAGCCAACATGAGGGGCTGTCCCAGAGGCCACGTTCTCGCAGGAGACTCAAAGCTGGAAAGGCCAAGGGGACAGAGCAAATGGTGGGATTTCAGACGTAATAAGCTGGCGATGCAAATCGCGGAGCTGGGATGGTTAGGGCTGAACGAAGAAGAGCCACCTCCTCCCTGCTCTTCAAACTTACAAAAAGCTGCAGACCCTTCTTTTCAAAGGAAATCCACATTCTGTGCCCCACCCCGCCTCCCCAGAGGAGGACCCGCCGAGCAGGCAGACCTGAGCAAGAAGAGCAGACGGACAGGCAGCAGCCGGCCCTCCCGCTGGGCCTCGGTGTTCTTCTGCTGAACACGAACACGTTCACAGAACATCCACATCATACAAGGCCCCTTGTGACCGTGATGGGTCAGGACAAACCAAGACTGCTCGGTAGCCACGGCTGAGCACAGGTGGACGTGAACGTTGTCCACGCGACGACCGTGACCGGACACCCCCTCTCCCGGCTGGAGGAGGACAGTTACAGCTTCAGCTCGGGCCTGGTCTCCCTCCTTCCAGATCAGATAGATTAAGATGCCAGTACAGAATTAGCCCCGCTTCCCGACAGAATCCAACCCGGGGCCAGAGCCCTGCTTCCTTGGACTCCCCCCAGTCACCTCACACGAGCCCAAATCCCACAAGTCTTTCCTCACACCCTCTTACCGGGACCCCCCACGGTTCCCCTGGTGTCTGTTTTCCTCACTGCAGTGAGTAACAACCCAGCTGTTAACCCCAGGTGAGCTCCTGGTGGTCCTCACCTGCAGGGCATTGGCAGACAGATCCCATCACACACTCCACCACCTAAGCCCTGCGGAAGTCAGGGATGGGGGGCCATCACCTCCCTTTTGCACATGAGGAAAGTCAGGTGCAGAGAGGCAACTGGCCCTGTCCAAGGACACAGAGTAGGGTCAATATATAGTTTATGGTCCAAATGGGTGAGCTTTGGGGGTGAAAGGGCACATCGTAATAACGAAGCAGTGGGCATCAGCCAGGACTGTCCTGGGCAGACAGGGCATATGGTCTCCCTACCACGCAGCAAGGTGGTCGGGGAGCCAGGAGCAGAGCCGAAGCCTGACTCTCACCATCTCCCTGCTGCCCGGGCCCTCCACGCCACTTCCCGGGACAGGGTTAGCGTCTCTCCACGGGCCAGCCTGGCAGCCAGAGGCCCTTGGTTCTCCGGTAAGGTCTGGGGAATGCCCTACAGCTGTGATCAGGGACATGGGGCCGCTCTGAGATTCTGCACCCCACAGCCGTCCCACACGGCCTCCCCACCATGTTCAGTGTTCACATTCCAGAGCTTGCCCTCAGGGCCTGCCAGCGCGATGCCTCATTCATCCTGCCCAGAGGGGCATGGGTGGTTTCACATAAAAGACTCCACAGGTGAATGAAGGTGACCCCTTTAATGTTGAAACCTTTTTTATTTTAGCGTGGGTGCTGGTGCTCTTTCTGATGCAGATCCTCGTTCCTCTCCTGAGTAAACAGCGCAGGAGCACACTACACTCACCTGGCCTGCGGACTCGGCCACGACGGGGACGTGGGTTACAGCATGGGGGATGTGCCCAATGGCACCCTTCGCTGCAGAGGCTGTCACCCTGGAGGTAGCAATGACCCAGACAGAAGAGAGCGTGTGTTCCAGGGGGATGCCCTTCTGACCCAGCAAGAGGGGCATCCTTTCCCCACGGTCGGGACCCCCAGCCCCAACCTGGAGGCCCAGCCGGAATGAAGGTCTCCCCCTCCCAGGCGGCCCAGGGAGCACACTCTGAGCGTGTGGACGTGGTCTGAGGTAGTGCCACTGCCTGGTCTCTGAAGCAGCCTCTGTCCCTGTGCTGGGGCACAGAGGGGCTGTGCAGAGAGCAGCGTCATGAAAGCCTTACTCTGTGATGCTACACACAGCGTCAGCTTCAGGGGCCACGGAAGCAGACTGAGCTATTTGCCCTGCACTCAGTGGCCCCAGATGGCTGTGTGGTTGTCACCCTGCTGCCTCCGGTGTGTCAGTTATTAACCTCTCGGCTCCTGCTCTGCACTCTGTCCCCACCTCACAAGAAACCAAGCTCACCAGATCATGAACTGCGAGGGTGGTAATCACGATCCGTTCATGTCTCTTTCCCTCTAGGATCCCAGCCTGCGTCTGGTGCATAGCAGATGCTCAGTAATGCCCCAAATCAAACTGAGTTAAGCCAGGAAGCTTAATGTCACCCCCAATCCTAATGCAGACGGATTCTGCAGGGAGGGGGGCCACTCTGGGGGCTCTTTGCCTGGCTTTGAGACTACTCTGCAGGCCATTTGGAGGTTTGAATGCCAGAGAGAAAAGGGGCTGGGACCCTAAGAGTTAGAGGTGTGGGGAAGGGGGATGTTATCTGCAAAAGTTTCCTGGGTTCTGGGCAGTTCCATACACCCTCACTGACCAGCGACTTGGGGCACAGGAGACACCGAGGTGAGCAGAGCACAGGAGCGAGCTTTGAGCAGACAGTCACGCTCCGGTGATAAATGTACAAGACCCAAGGGGGGCCCAAGGAACCAGGACTAACAGTCCAGGAGGCAATGGTATCAGGAAAGCCCTCAGTCTGGGGACATCTGTGCAGGTGTCTGAAGGACAAGCATGCATTTGCCGGGCAGACGAGGGGGCAAAGGGCGTGCTGGTGGAGGCGACAGCCTGGGAAGGGCACGGGGCAGCAGGGTGAGTGTGTGTGCTGGGGCACCGCCTCGGGATTGGAGGAGCAGAGCGTGTGGCATGGGGCTGACCAGGGAGAAAGTCTGGAGGTCAGTCACGGAAGGTCTGGATCCCAGAGCAATGGGCTGTGGGCAGGGGAGACACGGTTAGCTGTGAACGAAGCCGGATCATGCCATCTACCAGGTGGACTAAAAGACTCAACAGGAACAGAAACCCCGAGAGGCCTTCACAGAGGACCGGGGACCCGAGGGGCAGCACCAAGGAGGGCTCCTGTTTAGAGGTCAGCTTTGTGGGGAGGCAGAAAAAGCTCTTGAGGGCCGCGGCTGCTGCAAATCTTCTCCACAAATCATATTTTACCTTCAAAGCTTCACCAAAGAACGTTAACAGTTGGAATAGCAGTGGTCCACGGATAGTCACCAGCCCCTCCCTGTGCCTCTCTTTGCAGTTCTCAAAACGCTCCTGGGTCCATCATCCCATTTGCACCTCCATATAACCCCACTTTGCAGATGGGGAAATTGAGGCCCTGTGAGGTCACACAGGGGTTAGCAGTGGCGCCAGGTTAGAACCCAGGGAGCAGTTCCATCTCAGCCCTGGGCGTCGGGCTCAAAGCCCACTTCCTTGTCCGGGAGGGGGTCCCCGGCACCGTCCGGCAGCCCATAGTACAAATCTTCCTCTTCCCGCTCAGGCTCCTCTGCGCCTGTGTGCGAAGCCTCCTCCTCCTCCTCCTCCTTTGTCCTCGGGGACCGCTGCCAGGAGCTGGACCGGGCTGCCTCCCGCCACTGGCCCTCTGGAGGCCCGTCCTCCGACGTGGGGGCGTCAATCAGGGCGAAGTCGTGGAAGCGGTCCAGCCGGCACCTGCAGGCCCAGGGCTCCTGGGGTGGGGGCCGAGGCTTCTCCCCCTCAGGCAGAGATGGGTTGGGGCTGCTGCCCTCACTGGAGCCCATGTCCAGATCATCCGGGAAGGAAGCCAAGGGTGCAGGGCCCTGGGGACAGGCCGGGGGGCTGCAGGGCAAAGGCAGAGAGGGTGAGGGAAGCTCTCAGCCAGACTGCCTGGGTCCAAATCGCAGCTACTAGCTGCAAGGCCCGGAGTAGGGTGAGTTCACCTATCCGGGCCTCAGTTTCCTCCCCTGAGAAGTGGGGAAAGAACAGTTCTCACTCCTACAGTCGTCTCTGAAGATACTGTGTGCAGAGCACTTTGCACAGTGCCTGGCACGTAGTAGGTACTCAAGAAACTGGCCATTATGTTATTATCCAAACCAGGTCGCTCCTCCTCTTCTCTGCTCAGGGGTCTCCTCCGGGCCCTCACAGCCCAGGTGTCATCTCCTGTCCCCTTGTCTGCCTCCCCCACTGGACTAGGAGCTCCTGCAGGGTGGAGCCGTCAAGGCCTGGCAGGGAGTAGGTGCTCAGTAATGTTGGTAGGATAAGTGAACAAATGGATGAATGAGGAACAGCGGGGACAGCGTGGAGCGGGGAGCGACCTGCCCGAGGTCACAGAGCAGGTCAGCAGCAGAGTCTGGATTTGAACTCAGGTCCTGTGGCTCCCCACCCCCCACTACTCACGCCAAGCATTCAGAGGGCCTATTGTGCACCCGGCACTTAGTGCACTCCCCCAATCCTCATAACAACCCTCCAGGTGGCCGTGATTATTCCCAAGTGGGGAAACAGGCTCACAAGGGTAAGAAGCATGCTGGGGTTACACGGCAGAGGAGCTGGGATTTGAACCCAGGCCCATCTGACTAAGCCTATACTCAGGCATCTGCCACATCTGCTGCCTCTCAGGGTGCCCCCGCCTCCCCTGCCCTCTCTACTCCCAAAGGTCCCCAACCAGCCCTCAGTGGCCCCCCCTTACTGGGAAGTTGGCAGCACCCCCACCCCTGCACTCACCTGGGCCTGCTCTGAGTTGGGCTTCTTTCTCCCTTGTCCTCGTCCGAGCCCCTGTGGATGACCACAGCGGCCTCCGTCCAGGCCTGAGTGTCACGAGGGCCACCTTCTCCTCTATCACTGGCTCCCAGCTGCAGCTGTCCCTGCTTGGGGGCCAGCAGGGGGCGAGGGTCTTCACTGCAGCCCAGGACCTTCATCTGGATGTGGCTAAAGTCAGGCAGGCTCTGGTCATAGGCGGCTTCCTCCCACAGCCTGGCGTAGGGGGGCTGGGGGCTGGGTGGGGGCACAGCAGACAGCAGGAGAGAAAACAGGCAGCGGGCAAAGATTCACTCAACAGACATCAGTGTTGTCCCCAGCCCGCCTGTTCCGGCCGTCTGGTCTCCCCCGATCTCAAGAAGCCTTTGGGGGTCGTTACTATGCCCAGTTCACACATGAGGAGACTGAGGCCCAACAGGTAAGTGGAGTCGCACAGCTCCGACACTCAGTCCAGGGGTCCTTTCATTCCATGTCTTCAAAGTTAACCCCAGGGGTGCGACTGCGAAATGAAGAGCAGTTCGCATTGACTGAGAGTTTGCGGGGTTCCAGACAGCGGGCTGAAGGCTTTACGCTCATCATCCCCTTTATTCTGAACAACAGCTTGAAGCAGAATGATTGGCCCCGTTTTCCAGATGAGGACACATCAGCGGTAATCGCCCAGCTAGTGAGTGCTCCTTGCCTCCAGCCTCCGTCAGTTGGCTCATCTGATCCTCACCACAACTCTGGGAGATACTGGGGGGAAACTGAGGCACAGGGACGCGCTGGCTTGCCCAGGATGACACAGACACTAGGTGGCGTGCTGGCACTCCAGGCGTCACATTCTCTACTGCTATCTACAGTCCCTCTGGAAAGGGAGGTGCCCTTGCCCAGGGCTGGGGAGTGACAGGGAGGAGCCCAGACTCAGGGCAGCCTGAGCCCCAGACCCATCACAGTGGCTCTCCCCATGTGACCGGTCCTGAGGCTGGCACCATGCCCCCCACGTGGGGTCTATCTGCCTCATTCCCCCAGGGACATTTGGTCACTTTGCGTGCCAGGAGCGGAAGATACCACCTCCTTCCCCAAGCAAAATAGAGAGCGTCCCAGAGCCCCAGCCACAGACCCTGGACCTGCAGCCCGGCCCCTGAGCACAGAGTCACAGCCCCCAGGGGGGTGCAGCTAGTCCCACGGGCCCTCTGGGGCAGCCGTGCCCTCCACTGTGTCCGGGCGAGCCAGCACTTGGCACCTCCAGGGATGAAGGCAGGTCTGGTCTGGTTTGTCGTTGACTCCCTGTGAGGTTTGGGGCATGGGAGTGTACTTCTTGAGCCTCAGTTTCCCCACCTGTATAAAGGGCCTGACACCCCCCACTTCACAGGGTTTCTCTGAGGCCTGAAGGGGGTAATGGGCACAAAACGCCTGACAGGGTCTCTGGTGTCAGGAAGCCCTTCTTAAAGACGACAAACATGTACAAAGGGCTGGCCAAGCACGAGGTTCTGCTCTTAGCGCCTTGCACATTTTTCCTCACTCACCCCTCCCTGAAGCCGTAGGAGGAAGGCACTATGAGTCCCCCACTTTACAGATGTCCCGGAGTCCCACACCAGGAAGTGCGGGACCCCGGGCTGTGCCTGGGCTATCACCGTGCCTCTGGTCTGCTGGAGTAGACCTAGGCACAGCTGTCCGCAGTTTAGGGCCAAACTGCCTGATTCCTGGTCTGCCACTAATTCGCTGTAAGACAGGACAAAGTCCCTGGGCCTCAGTTTCCTCACCTATAAAACGGGAATAATAATGCTCCCCTCACAGAACTGAGTTCAAACAATCCATGATTTCTAATAGTACGTTCTCAGCAAGAACGAGTGCAAAGCCAGACCTGGAGCAAGCCGAGGAGCCACCACCCACGCGGCCCCCCCGCCCCTCACTCCCCTCTGTAAGGGGCGACTGGCCTGAGGAGCTCACTGCCCCCCACCCCCGGCACCCACCTCTTCCTCTCGGCGGCGAACCCATTCTCCAGCAGGCCCAGCGCCTTCGGGGACAGGATGGCTTGGAAGTCGGCATCTGCGGGTATGAAGGTGACCTGCAGGGCGAAGGGGAGACGCGTCCCTGCGGCTGCCGCACACGCCCTCGGCCGCCGCTCCCCCCGGAGCCTGGGCTGAACCTCTCCACACACCCCGGAGAGAGGCCGACCAGGGCGGGGCTCCCCGTTTGACAGGGGATGGGCCTGCTCAGGGCCCAGCACCAGTGGGTGCACGGATCTCTGGGCTCCTGCTCCCACCTGGCTCTTCATTCACCCAACATTTATTGAGCACCTGCTGTGTGCCAGGCACTCTTCTGGGTACCAGGAGGCAGCAGAGAGTGAATGAGACCAACATCCCTGCCCTGGAGCAGCTCACATCTTGTCATTTCCTGGGGTCCTCGACCAGCACCCAGAATGTGCCTGGCACGGAGTCGGCACTTCATCTACATCTGGCGAATGAGTGGAAAGCAGGTCATTGTCAGTGTTTCTGGGCACAGAGGCTGCGGTGGGGGCCAGAGACATGGATGGCTGGGATTGCACCCGCCAGCTCCTGTCCCTGAACTTTCGGGGGTCAAGAGGTCTCTGCAAGTGCAGCATCATGGGCGGGCACCGGGTGGCAGAGGGGAGGCGGGCCATAGAGGAGGCCGTGGGGTGAGACAGAAGGGGCCTGGGAGACTGGGCGAGAACCCCGCCTTGGGCAGGTCACCACCCTCCCAGAGCCTCTCTGGGCTCCTCTGTAACATGGGGCTAGCCTCGAAGAGATATTTGCAGCACTGTTCACAAGAGCCAAGAGGTGGAAGCAACCCAGTGTCCATCAACAGATGAATGGATACACAAGATGTGCTCTGTCCACACAGTGGAACATTATTCAGCCTTAAAAAGGAATGAAGTTCTGACACGTGCTACCACACGGATGAACCTTGAGGAAAAAAGCCAGGCAGAAAAAGGCAAATTCTGTAGGATTCCACTTAGATGAGGTACCTAGAACAGTCGAATTCATAGACACAGAAAGTAGAATGGTGGCTGCCACAGACTGGAGGGAGGGGGCATGGAGAGTTACTGTTCAGTAGGCACAGAGTTTCAGTTTTGCAAGATGAAAAGAGCTCTGGAGACTGGTTGTGCAATAATGTGAATGTAATTAACACTACTGAACTGTACACTGAAAAATGGTTAAGATGGTACGTTTTATGCTATGTGCATTTTACAACAATTAAAGAATATATAGGGCTAGTGATGCCTGCCTCCCGGGGCTGTGGTGAGGATCCCTGAGATGACACACGAGGAATCCCAGCACGGTGTCTGGCACAGGAGTGGCTTGGCCAGTCATATTGTGATGCCACTGAAGGTGAAGTTTCCTGACTTCTCTGAGTCTTGCTCCCCTCAGCGAAAACCTGTTCCACAAGTATGTGATGAGCCCGAACTGGATGACACCAGGCTCCTAAAGAGCAGCCCCTCTTCCCTCCCCACAGAGCGCAGTGAAATGCATTTGTGTGCACGAGAACCACTCAGTCCTGCTGGGGAGAAGGGAATGATGGAGGGAGGGGTTCTGAGAACTTCCGTGAGGGCTGAGCTTGCCACAAACGTCTGGAAATAGGCAGGGGCCCGGCTATACTCCACATCACCACAGAGGCCCTGCACTTGCCAGCCAGCTCTGTGCTTCCTAGAAGCTGCCCCTGCCTCTGCCTCAGCACCTCATGGCCCAGTCACCATCCCCCTCCTCCTCCTCCTCCTCCTCACCATCACCATCACCATCACCACTACCACCACCATCACCATTACCATCATCATCACCATCACCATCAACACCACCATCACCATCACCATCGTCATCACCATCACCATCACCACTACCACCACCATCACCATCACCATCGTCATCACCATCACCACCAACACCACCATCGTCATTTCCATCAACACCATCATCATATCATCACCATCATCATCATCACCATCACCAACATCACCAATGTCATCATGACCATCACCACCATCATCACCGTCACCATCACCGTCATTGTTGTCATCATCATTACCACCACTGTGAAAAGCCTGGAGGGTAAGGGAAGGCGGGAGCATCTTAGAACACAAGTCCTTTTAAGAGAGGGAGACAGGCAGAGTTGAAGCTAGGGAGGGGAGATCAGACCATGAAGACCCCAGAACATCAGACTAAGGAGTTCGGCCTTATCCAGAAGCACTGGGAGCCCTGGAGGAGTTCTCAGCAGGATAGTGTGCAGGCAGATCTGCGTTTAGGCAGATCTGCGTTTAGGCAGAGCACGGAGCAGTCCCCAACGGGAGGAAGCAGAGGGAGGGTGGGAGACCCCCAGAGAGGACAGATCCGTCAACCACCAATCAGGGGCAGGTCCTGGGTTCCTTCAGAGCAAGGAGGAGGGGGAATGGGGGCCTGTGGACAGGGGCAGAAGCAGGGCAGGGAGAGGCCCTGCTTTCCCTGCCAGTCCTTCCCCCACTCCTGGCTCCCCTGCCCCATCTCAGCTAACAGGTGCAGCCTTCCTGACAACCTCCCCTAGGAGATCTGCCCCGATTCCCCCTCGTCTCTCGAGCCCGAGGCCCAGCTGACCACAAATCTGACCAAGCTGACTTCAGAAATTCAATGAGATAAGCTGGATGGACATGCCGGGGCCATGCCCAGTCACAGCAGGTGCTATCCGCTTGAGGGACTGGCAATGCCTTCTCAGTCCCTACACTCTTGGCTTCAAACTCTGCCTGAGTCCAGGAGACCATCATCTCTCACCTGGACCAGAGAGGGGGCCTCCCCACAGAGCTGGCTGCCCCGAAACCTTCCCCCTCCTCCCAGATGTCAGCCTGATGACCTTCTTGAACTGCAAAGCTGATTGTGCCCCTCTCGTGTCCCATCCACTAGAAGGTAAGGTCCAAATTCCTTAGCTGGCATCCCAGGCCCCCCAGACCTGAACCTAGTCCCTCTCCCCGACCCTCCTCCCCCCACCCTCCAGCCCCCCTGCTGACCCACTTGTCCTCCTCTTCCACCTCGTTTCTTTGATCATACTGTTCCTTCTGCCTGGAATGTCCTTCCCCATTTTCTCTGCCTGGTGAACTTCTACTTAACCTACAAAGCCCAGCTCACCTTCTCTGTGAAGCCACTCCCTCCCCATCACGCAGAAAATAATCTCTTCCGCAAGACCCCGGCCCCTCAAAGACAGGGACAGCTTAATTCACGTTGGTATTGGCTCCCCGCTACCCCATATCTTAATTGGCTAATTCCATCCCTTTTATGTATATTTCTCCCAATCCAGAAAATTCCCATTTGTCAGGCACTGAGCGGCGGGGGAGGATCCTGAGGGAGGATGGGCACCAGCATCTGCTGAGGGCTGTGGTGGCCCAGGAACCAACGGGACCGGGTGGGAGCTGGGGCCTCCACCTGAAGTGCGTTTCCCTGGTTTACAGCACACTTTCCTCCCTGCCCGAAGTGTGCGGCTCTGACGCCCACATAGACCCACACCGGTGCACACACACCAGTGCACACACACGGAGCCCGCCCAGTGCCACAAACACCAATCCTGAGAGCAATGCCTTCCAATGGGCTCTGTGCCAGGCGTGATGCCGGCCCCTCCCCCCGCAGGACCCTGCACAGGGCTCAGCGGGGCGGGGGACTCCCTCTGCCCAGGTGGCAGAAGTGGGGCCTGCGGGAGGAGGGGTTTGGATCCGAGCCTGGTGGACACAAACGTTGTCGTATTCGCCCCACCACGCTGCCTCCACGGCGCGTGAACCCGCGAATCTGTCCACAGTTACTCATTAATACCCAGCAGTACTTCCTCTCCCCTCTCTCCCATTCATCCCCCGCCGCCACTCGTCCCTCTGCCACTACCCAGAGCCACTTCTGCTGAAGGGGGAGGGCAGGAAGGACACCCCCCCCACATCCTCTGTGCCCTTGCCGTGCCCCAGGGTCCAGCCTCCTCACTGGTGGGGGTGGGGGGTGGGGACGATGGAGAAGGTGACGTGGTGGCTTGGGCCCCGAGGACCTCTTCTGCCAGTGACCTCTGCTCAGAGCGTTGCACAGACAGGAGAGTTGACTGTAAACTGCTCAGTCAGTGACTGCAAACCAGCCCAGACCGCCCCAGCCCGAATCCGCTGACAGCCCTGGCGGCCCGCGGAGCGGGCAGGGCTGGGGAGCCGGCCAGCCCCCAGAAGCCTCCTCCCTCCTCCCCTGAACCCTCGAGCAGAGCCAGCCAGGTGGGAGGTGAGGAGGAGGCTGTGAGTGCGGGAGCTGCCTGAGGCCTAGAGCCCTGGACATCAGGACCAGCGGGGCTCTTAGATGCATCCCCTTCTGCGCTCCCTCTTCCTGACTCACACAGTGTACAAATGAGGAAACTGAGGCTCAGAGACGGAAGGGGCTTGACTAAGTCTCTCAGGCAATTGGAGGCAGAGCCCAAGTTAGGATCTGTGCTTCTCTCCTGGTCTCCCTAGGTGTCTCTGACCAGCTGTGTGACCTTGGAAAAGTCACTCAACCTCTCTGGGCCCTGCCACACCCATTTCACAAGGTTGTTGGGAGGATCAATAAGGGTAAGATTGGCAGCCTTTCACCCAAATATAACACTTTGCAGTTTACAAAACATTCCTACATCCCATCTCTTCTCTATTCTTCATAATAACTCTGTGAGGCTAGGAGAAATAGGGGCTTGGGGCCCCATTCTGCAGAAGAAAGAAACTGAGGCTTGGAAAGGTCAGACAGAGAGTTTGGGACAGAGCTGGAACTAGAACTCAGGACTCCCAAACCAGTGCTCTTCCCATCGCCAAGTGACTCATAAGGCTCAGAGTACATTAAAACTCTACAGCGCACTGCCCAACCCATGGCATCAGGTTACACCTGACCCACCTTGAACTCTCAACGTCTCTGGGGCACTGGGACGGCTCTCCCGAGGGGGAGGGTCATGCTTTAAGTCCACACATCCAAGCTCCGATCCCATCTCGGACACTTAGGAGCTGTGGGACCTCACCTTTCTGAGCCTTGGGCTTCCCCACCATAAAACGGAACTGCAGAGGCACCGAACACCTCAAGATGAGGACCACCCCGCAGGGTGAAGGCAGGAGCACTGTGCCGGCGGCAAGCACACATTCATTTTGGTTTCAAGCACGTGGGTCGTGTGTAGGGTTTTGCTGTGCCTCCCGCATGGTGCCTGGTTCAGGGCTGCAGATCCAGGGGGCTTCTGATCAATGCTTAGGATAGCGGATGGACGGACGGACGGATGGACGGATGGATGGACGGAAGGATGGATGGACGGATAGATGGATGGATACTCAGAAGAGCAGAGAGAAGAAAAGATGGAGTGAAAAGGGGAGGAAGAAAAGACGATAGGAGGATGGGGCACAGCATGTGCCTGGAATCGAGGCACAGCCCCGGGCCCTCCTGGCCTCTGGCCCCAACCAACCTGCCCGCACCGCCTACCTTGGGGTAGCACTGGCACATGGTCCAGAGGACGCCCCCGATCACCATGACGCCGCCCATGGCGTAGAAGGTGCCGTAGATCTGGGGCCGGTCGTGGCTCATGAGGAACGTGCCGAGGGCCAGCAGGAAGAGCCCCAGCACGATGAAGCCGATGCGGAAGGTCTTCTCGTCAGCCATGGCTGCCCGGCCTGGCCCAGCCCGTGCACCGCCGTGGAGGGGCCTCGGCGAACCAACGTAGGCACCTACACAGCTCACACAGGGAGGAGGACACTCCGGGATCACTGCAAACCGGGGCTTGAAGTTCAAGGGAGGGCAGGCTCCCCTCCGGTCCGACAGCAGGCTGGGCACCGGCTCACCAGGCTGGAGGAGCTGCGCTCCGATGGCCCCCGCCCCCACCCACCCACCTTCCCTCCCTCTCACCTTCCCTCTGGGCTCCAGAGTGTGTGTGCCTGAATCTGAGAGAGGGAGAAGGGAGGGAGGGAGGGAGAGGGGGAGGTTACAGGGGCTGGGCCCCAGCCAAGCTTTGACATCACCTCATTTGCCTGTGTGGGGCTGGGCTGGGTGGACAGGAGCCCCACACCGTTCAGCCATGGGAAGTGGGGTACAAGGCTGCACCCAAAAGACATCCGAATGCCACTGGAGGATTCCAGGATCCCACAGGCTGGCGTGTTAGAATCCTGAAGAATTTGACTCTTCAAGGTCATGCGCCCACCTGGGGTTCAGGAATAACAGCCCATATTTACTGGACAGTGGCTGCACGCACACACTGTTCTAAACACATCACAGGTGTTAACTCATTTAATGGGACCCCGTGAGACAGGGACTACTGTCCCTACTTTACAAATGGGGACACAGACAAGTAGATTGCCCAAGGTCACCCAGCTGGAAATGGCAGAGCAGCTGGAATTCAACCCAGAGGCTCTGCACCTACTCCTCACCTGACGGTAGCACCAAGGTTAAAAGTGCAGGCCCTGGGGCTGGGCAGACAGCTGGGCTTGGGTTCTGGCTCCTCTACCAAGCAGCACTATAGTCTTGATCAAGTTACCTCCCTGTGCCTCAGTTTCCCTCCTCTGTACAACGGGCTAATAGTCCCTCCCAGGACCAGAGCTGTCTCCAAGCCTGGCCTCGTGGGTTCCTCTGTCCTCTTCTCCTACTCCTCTGTCCTCTGTGCTCCACTCCGACCCGCTCGCCCTGAGCTGCCCTCTGCAGAGGCTCTGGTGCGTTAACGTCCCTGTAGGATGGGAGTGACTGACAGCCATTTCCTTGCCTCCCAAACTAGGAAGATGCTTTAGTCCTAAGAATGACATTCTTTTTGTGTGTGTGTGTGTGAGGAAGATTAGCCCTGAGCTAACATCTGTTGCCAATCCTCCTCTTTTTGCTGAGGGAGACTGGCCCTGGGCTGACATCTGTGCCCATCTTCCTCTACCTTATACGGGACGCTGCCACAGCATGGCTTGACAAGCGGTGTGCTGTTGGGCAACCAGGATCCAAACCTGCGAACCCCGGGCCGCTGAAGCCAAGTGTGTGCACTTAACCGCTACGCCACCGGCCCCCCACCAGAATGACATTCTAATGATGGAATTTCAGTCCTGGGGACAGGCAGATGGGAAAAATCAGATTTCCTTACAGGATTATAGGAGAATGAGGGCCATGGGTATCTCTAAAAGATGACGTTAACTTGTAGTCTGTGCAGGGTTGACTTGCTGGGATCAAAGGCTTTCATTTGGCATCCGGACTCAGCAGGTTCGGGGATTTTCCTGTTTGTTGTCATCACTGTCTCCCTCCTGCCAGCTGTGCTTGTTCCCTGACACCCCCCCACACATCCATGCTCAGCCACACCCTCTGCCTGCTGTTCCTGCCCACGGACACTTTTTCCAGCCGGGCTGCCAGCAGAGGAGGTCCCCATAATGGAGTCCAGGAGACCCTCCCAGTGAGGGGTCAGAGATGGGCTGAGAGTCACCGGTCACATCTAGGTCTGATTTCCCTGGGCGAACTCGGGCTGGTGGCTCCTCTCTGCGCTTGAGTTTTGTCACCTGTGAATTGATCGTGGTAGCAGGCCACCTCCCAGGTACTGTGCAGGGAAGCGACCTAATAGAGGAGAAAATGCTTTGTCATCTGTGATTATCGGCACGACGGGACCTTCCACGGAAACGCTGTCATCATCGTCTTACAGAGGCTCAGAGAAGGGAAGCGACGAGTGCCCCGCCCAGAAAAGGAGACCGAGGCCCAGAGGGACCCCGGGCAGCCCTCTCCGGTCTTGTTGCCCTGGCGGGGTGGGAGTGGCTCTCCACGGTCTGGTCCCCCAGGAGCACTCTCGAGCCCCCTGGTGGCCGTCGCAGCACGCCCTCTCGGCGATGCCCCGCCCCGCAGCCCGGCGCGGGAACTGAGCCCGGGAGTGGCAGGGACCGGCCAGACCTCCCCAGACTGAGTCGGCGGCTGAGCGGGCACGGGACCCACGCAGCCCCAGCCCGGGGTTACGGATCTGGTCCTTCTCCCTTCCCGAGAGGCCTCCCGGTGCCTGGGCACGCTCCCCCTCACTGCACCTTGTCTTTCTTCTCCACGACCCAGCCTCCTCTCTCCCTTTTCTCTTCTCTGAAAAAAAGGGGCCGGGGGTGGGGGGCTGACAACGAGCAAGGCGCTCTGGGACAAGTAGGTGCTCACTAAAACGGGTCTAACCCGCGCTCCTCCACGGAGCCGTGCGAGGGTGAACGCGAGCGGGTGTGTCCGGTGCGTGGGAAGTGTCGGGTTATCCGCGGTCCCCCCACCCCCGCCCCCGCCCCCGCGCCCGCCCCTGACTTCCCCCTCCCTCCTGCCAAGTGGGGGAGACCGGGAGCAGCGGCCGAGAACTCGGTCATCCTCCAGCAGAGGGCGCGCGGACCTCTGTCTTCCTCCCGTCGGGGCGCATGCAGGATCCGGGCAAGACCCTGAGAACCAGGGAGCACAAAGCTCACACCCATTCGACAGATGCGGAAACGGAGGCAAGGTGAGCGGGCCGAGGTCGCAGAACCTGTAAATAGCACAGCCAGGATTCAAACCAGGTCCCGAGCCAGTCTCTTGCTGAGCACCTACTGTTTGCAGGACACTCTGAACGCCACGTTTCAGAGAGTGATGGCACTTGGTCCAGCCTTCTGGGGCACAATATGGTAAAGGCTCTGAGATACCTGTGAGTTCCAGCGTGTGCACAGAGAGAGGGACAGACTTGGGGGGGGGGGAGGCCAGAAGGGACAGGTTCACAGAAGGGATCCTTGAAAAGTCAGTGGAGTTCTTCTGTCGAGGCAGGAAAAGCAGTTCAGGCAAAGAGACCAGCACGTGCAAAGGCCCAGGGGCCAGTAAGCACATGAAACTCGAAATGCCATGTGCACACTTGCCTCTACACTGCATACTCTTCCCCATCCTCCCCAGACCTGCTCCTCCCATGTCAGCTCCATCCTTCCAGTGTTATCCAGGCCATCACCTAGAATCCTGGCCAACATCCTCCCCTCCTCTCTCACACCCACATCCTCTTGACTCTACCTCCATCCCTTCTCTCCCCCCACTACTGCTCATCACTGGTCTGAGCCCCCATCATCTCTGTCTCCCTGAGTGGTCTCTGCTTCTACTCTTGCCCCCTGAAGTCTCTTTTCAACTCAAATGCCAGGTCAGACCAGGTCACTCCTCTGCTCAGAACCCTGGAGTGGCTCTCTGTCTCATCAGAGTAAAAGCCAGAGACCTCAGAATGGCCGACAAGGCCCTAGATAATTTGCCCATGCCGCCCACCCCCTCACCCCTCTGAGCTTCTCTCCTGCCACGGCTCCACTCACTCACTCTCCTCCAGCCACCCTGCCTCCATGCTCTTCTTGGAACACACAGGCACCCCAGGGCCTTTGCACCTGCTGTTCCTGCTGCCTGGAATGCTCTTCCTCCAGATATCTGCATGGCTCCCTCCCTTACCTCCTTCAAGTCTTTGTCCAGATGTCAGCTTCACAGCAAGGCTTTCCCTGATGTGACATCTACAATTGCAGAACCCCCACCCCTAGGTGTTCCCTGTCCTCCTCTCCCAACTTGTTTCTCTCCATAGTACTCGTCACCATCTATCTAAATACACACATTATTTATTCATCTTGTCTCTTGCCTTTCTCAGTGGGGACGCTCTTGTTCACTGCCTTGTCACCAGGGGCTAGAACTGGGTAGGGAGGGTCTCAATTCATATTTGGGGACAGAGGGATGGCTATAAGTTCCAGGGGAGAGGGAGGCCAGAGAGGGAAGCACAGGCAGGAAACCTCCTGGGGTCACGCGAAGGTGTGCGATATCGTTCAGCGGCCGACGGGGCCTCTAAAGGGGGGACTGTGCAGAGGCCTGACCCGGATCAGAGTTTAATTGTACGACAATCCTCTGGGGCTGAGATCAAGCTGGAGGACGCACGAGGAGGTGGCAGCAGAGGAGCAGCTGCCAGGCTCTGGCGGAAACCTAGGGAGAGACAGGTTGAGGCGAACAATTTTTAGGGGAAATTAGTTGCTGTGGGGGAGCTATGTGCAGGTGGCATGGGAATTTCCGATCGGGAAATTTCCGACCGATTTGAGGTGGGGAGCTCCAGGGGGCGGGGTCACCAGCCAACCCAGAGGGTGACGGAAGCCTGGGGGGGCCAGGCTCAGAAGGCTGCAGGGGCTTGCCTCCACTGGTTCCGTGGCCCCGGCTCAGCCTACATGTAGGTGCTGGTGATCTCCGGCAAGGCCCTGGCCCTCCTGGGGGCTTTCACAGATGAGCTGACAAGTAGAGACAAAAGCAGAAAAGTTCTTTCCAGTCACCGGCCCTCCCCACCCCCTCCCTTCCAGCTCCTGCCAGCAGAGGTGGGGCCTCCAAGTCACAGCTGTGGCTCATTAACTCCCTGCCTGGGGGAGATTCCTCACCTGGGGGAGGAGGGGAGCTGGGCCTGGCTTCCCAGCCTGGGACCCCATTAACTGTTTAGGAATTGCGGATAAATCACACCCCCATCCTCGTGATGCATATGGGAAACTGGGGGGTGTGTGTGACCAGCTCAAGGTCACACAGCTAGGTCAGGGCTGAGGCAGGATTCAAACCTCCATCTCCATCATAGCGGGAAGGTCAAGGCGCAGACAGAGAGGAGGACAGGAAGGGAAGGGGGCACAGACTGGGATCTAGGATTTGGTGATGGGAGAGGGAGAGGGTTAGGGGAGGGAGAGGATTACAGAAGACCCAGGGGATCTGGCTTGTGTGGCTGAGAGAGGGCCCAAGAGTGACAACAGCTGACATTCATGGATTCTTTTTTTTTTTTTTTGTGAGGAGATCAGCCCTGTGCTAACATCTGCCAATCCTCCTTTTTTTTTTTTTTTGCTGGGGAAGGTTGGCCCTGAGCTAACACCTGTGCCCATTTTCCCCGACTTTATATGGGACGCTGCCACAGCATGGCTTGACAAGCAGTGCGTCGGTACACGCCCGGGATCCGAACCGGCGAACCCCGGGCCACTGCAGCGGAGCGTGCACACTTAACCGCTGCGCCACCAGGCCGGCCCCAATCATGGATTCATTTATTCAGTCAACAGATACCTACCGAGCCTCGTCCACGGGCCAGACACCATTTCTAGGCTTTAGGGATACAAACGTGAAAGAGAGAAACAAAAACCCCTGCTCTTGCAGGGCTTACGCTCAGTGAGGATAAACATACAATAAACAAATAAAAAAATTTTAAGGTAAAATGTTAAATGGTGACAGGTTACAAAATAGAGCAGGAAGGAGACTGGGGGTGCGGGGGCGGGGCGGGATTTAGTTTTCAGCGGAGTGGTCAAGGATGGCCTTGTGAAGAGAGGGATGGAGCAAAGATGTGAGGCAAGTGAGGAGCGAGCCCGGGAGAAGCTTCTGGAGAGAGAGAAGGGCAAGTGCAAAGGCCCCAGCAGGGCAGCAGAGGCAAGAGGGCGGAGCGGTAGGAGGAGGGAGCCCCAGATGCAGGGCCCCACCCAGACCATCACAGGCCTTTCTTTATTCCAAGTGAGCTGGGACCACTCCAGGTTCTGAGCCCAGGAGGGACGTCATTGATCTGGGTTTGACCTGGCTCATTCTGGCCCCTGAGCTGAGAAGAGACTGCAGGGGGCCCGCACGGAAACAGGGAGACCGAATGGGCAGTTACTGAGAGGGTCTAGCCCAGGTGGGAAGACCCAGGCCTGGAGCCCAGCCAGGGCTGAACGGAAACTCTGGCTCGGCCTTCATTCTCTGTGATGCTGCCTCTCTGGGGCTCAGTTTCCAGGCCTGTGAAATGGGGAGAGCATCTGCAGGAGAGCGGCCTCGAGGATGTGGAACAACGGCGGAAGGCCTGGCCCAGCACACGGGAGGCCCTCGGAATGCTGCCCTCATCCAGCAGACTGAGCCCTGGGACTCTGAACCCCTACTTGCTGCGTGACCCTGGGAAGGTTACTTAACCTCTCTGAGCTGGTTTTTCTCATCTGTGAGTGGCGTGATGTGCAGATGTAGGGATGCACAATGTGCCTGGACAGAAAGCAGACATTTCTCCCACACATGGAAACTAAAGAGAGGAAGTGAGCTCCCCGTCACAGGAGGGATGGGAGTAGAGGCCAAATCTGCACTTGGTGGAGGCCGTTACCTCCACTAACAAAATCTGACAGTCACTGCATACTTAACAGACGCCTACCACTGGGCTGAGAAATCTGCACTTATTATTTGATGTTTTGCACGGACCCCGCAGGGTCAGTATGAGCTCACCGTGTCAGCTGCTATGGTCTCACTCAATCCTCACAAAGCAGCTCTCCGCGGTAGGGGCTGGTGCCACTTTAATTCCCAATTCCCATTTTACAGATGAGGAAACTGAGGCAGAGAGAGGAGGTCACTCAGCTGGTACCTGGTAGAACCCTCACACGGGTGGTGTGAATTCAGATCCACGTTCTTGTGGTTATAAACTCAGCGTGTGACCTTGGCTGTCCTGGCTCTGCCTCTGGCCCTAATTTTCCCATCTGCACCACAACATCCCCCAGCTGACAGCCAGCACTAACGGCCAGCCCTGTGGGTGCGCCATCTCGGCTGCTCTGGCCCAGCGGGGCTCTGCTGACTGCGGCCCCAGCAACATCACGTGGGGCAGAAGAACCACGCAGCGGGGCCCAGGCAACCCAGACGATGACATGGATTTATTTTAAGCTGTTTGTTTTATAGCACTAGGTAAATAAAACGGCATTCAGCAACAAACATGTGTTGAGTGCCTACTGTGTACGAGGCTCTGTACCAGACACTAGAAGCAGCTCAGCGTTTGTTCCTGGCTTTGCAGCCTGCCAGGAGCCTTTAACGTCCCCCCGCGGTCTGAGCCCGGCCTGGGCAGGGGCCGGCAGCCCCCGGGACTGTCTCTCCAGAGGTGGCGTCAGCAGCGAAGACGATGCTCTCGTAGCTGGGTGGAGGCGGGGAGGGCCGGGTCCCCCGCAGGCCTTCCTCCCCGGGGTATGGCGGCGTCGGGGGGCCCCCCAGCCAGCAAGCAGTGCACGGCCTCCTCGTAAGTGGGAATGGCCACCAGCTCTGGGGTCCTACAGGGACAGGAGGAGAGAGGCTGTCAGCAGGGGCGAGGGCAACAGCCTGCTGCATGCCGGGGAGGGAGTGAGGAAGGCTGGGGCGGGGCGGGCTCCCGGTGCCCCAGGACACAGGTGAAGCGGCCAGCAGACCCTGCCGCCCTCCACTCTCCCGCTCCACCCGCCCTGCTGCATCGAGTCAGGGCCCAGTGCTGACCACACCTCCCCATGCTCCTCAGCTCTCTCTGCAGGGCAAGTCCCTCCCACCTCCCTCACCCCTCCCTGCTGGTCAGTCCCCACCTGTCCTTGGAGACTCCTCTGGGAAGCCCTTCTGACTGGTCCCTCCCCTGGCAAAGCTCCCACTCCCCGCTCTGGGCCCCACAGTGCTCTCCTCTGTGACCACCCTGACCCCGTCTGGCTGTCCCTAGGGCAGAGACTGACTCTGAGTGTCTGGGCGCGGAGGGCAGGTGCTTGGGGAATGTTTGTTGAAAGGCTGAGTGATGGTCCATGGGCAGAAAGACTCCCGCTTCCTGTAATATCCCTTACAAGATCTGGAGTTGTGGATGCTCAGGGCAGGATGGGAGACCTCAGCGCTCCTGCCCATCTGGACACTTGAGGCCCTGATATGGTGAGTTGGCCAAGCAAGCACCTCTGCTATACCTCCAGAGATGGAGAGCTCACTACCTACCAGGTCAACCACTTCTATCTCTGGACAGCTTAGCTTTCCCGTGACTTGCCCCCGCCTCCCTCAGATGCACCACCCTGCAGGGATCGGAGGCAGGACCAGGTCCTCTGGGGCCCCCCTGACCAGGTCACCCACATTCCAGCCACACCAAGGCTGATGGGAATGAGACTGGCACTCCGTCTTCTCAGGGCCCTGGGAGGTCACCTCTGGGAAGTCATTGCCCTTTCCCCTCCAGGGACCCTGGGGAGTGGGAGTGTCACTGATCCTAGGTCGGGGCTGTTTCTGCGGGGATGATACTGCCAAATACAGGGGCCGACTAGGTGATCTCGAAGGTCACTTCCCACACCAAGTGGCTCGAGGGCTGGTTATGAGCCTGGGCACTGGCTGGTTCAACTCCCTGCTCTGCCACATTCCTGGTGGGAGACCATGGTCGATAACCCCACTGCTCTGGGCCTCAGTTTCCCCATCTGTAAAATGGGGACAGTAACGGCACCGCCTCACTGGACTGTGAAGACTAAATGAGATAATGGGGGGGGCACTCAGCACACGCTCCATAAATGGGGGCCCGTAACAAAATCTCGAAGGGCTCCGTAAGGAAGGGGCGTGGGAAACGAGACTCATCACGGTCTCGGCACGGCAAGCCCCACGCAGGCTCAGAGAGGCGGTCAGCCGCCCAGGGTCACCTGTCTGGAGCTGGCGGGAAGCAGTCCAATCCGTCCAGTGCGCCCGCCTGTCCAGACGGGGGAGGCGGCCCCGGAGGACAGAGGAGGAAGCGGAGGGGACTTCATCCCAGGGGCTGGCGGAGGGGCTGTGCCAGGAACCTGCTGCCCCTCCATGAACACCATCGCCCGCCAGGACAGGACCCTTCTCTGGGCGACGTGCCTTCTCAGCCCGAGCCCACCGCAGGCCTCAGAGCGGCCTGCTGGGAGGCAGGCTGGCTGCCCCAGTCACAGGCAGGGTCACAGAGCAGCTGGGGGAGCCTGTGCGCCAGTCTGGTGGAGGTGCCAACCAGGAGCCAAACCTGGGGCTCCCCGTCCAGTGCTCTCGCAAACTCCTCTCACAGGCCCTCCTCCTCTGGAAGGCAGCCCAGGAGCCCCGCAGCTGAGGAAGCCGCTAAGGGGCCTCAGCCTCCTCTGAGCTCCCAGCATCCTTTGCAGGGGAGGGCAGGCAAAGAATATTGCTCCTGGAGGCAGGCAAGCCAAGTTCTGTTGCTGTGTGACCTAGACCATGTCTGCACCCTCTCTGAGCCTCTTTCTCCTCATGTGTAAATGGGGATAACAATTCCCACTTTATAGATTCAGGGGAGGGGAAAATGGAAAAAACTTTGACAACACTCAGAAAACTGTGGGTAATAAGGCTTCTAGAGTCCACATCTCCCGCCCTGGTCGCCTCCCAGCCACACCCCCACCACACCCCACTTCCTCAAGCCCTAGAGACATGACACAGGCTTTGGGTACGGCTGGGGCCACCCCAGCAGGCGACAGCTGGCAGCAGGGCACAGGTGAGCTCAGCCCGCAGCAGGAAGTTTGCTTAGAGGGCAGACGTGGAGTGGCCCTCACGCTGCCTGCTGTCACCTTAGTCACCAGCTGGGCCCACCCGGCCCCAGGTCTCCACGGTCCTGGTCCAGGAAGCTGGGGCCTTGGGGAACACGAGGCCCGCGCAGGGCGGCCCCATGGCCCTCTTTAGGGGAGGCTCCACTCACTGTGTATTCTGGATACAGCACCCTGCAGTCGTAGGGGGCAGGCCTGCCACTATGGTCCCTGGGCACAGGAAACTCTGGAGCTGGTTGGGGGAGGAGACCTGGGCCTGGCACTGGCTCGTCCACCCTCCAGCTGAGTCAGGCACACACAGTAGGGAAAAGGGGAGGAGGGGGGTGAATGCTATCTACCCACCAGGAAAGCTCTCTAACCTTATTTCATGTTCCTGACCACCTGGGGGGCTCTCAGCCATCATGCAGACGAGTGAGGGTCACATATCAACCAAGTGGCAAAGCCCCAGCTGTCCGATTGCAAAGCTCAAGGCACCCCGCCTGTCACAGCTCCCCACCCCAGCCACCTGATGGCTCCACACCTCAGCGCTCCCATCTGTGAAATGGGCCTCGTCCTCACCCTTACCTCACGAGCAGTTAGTGGGCACGAGAGTGTGTTGTAAGCTGTAATGCACAGCAGTAGCAGCGACAGCTAATGTGTGCACGAACTTCACAGTGTGCCCATCTCTCCATCTGTCACCTCATCTGAGCCTCGCAGCAGTTCCAGGCTGAACTGTCAGCCCCAGCTGACAGGTGAGGAATTAGACACAGCTCAGAGAGTCTAAGTAACGTGCTCCACGACACACAGCTTATAAACGAAAGAGCAGAGACTGAACCCCTCGTGTCTGAACAGGCCCACGCTTTTTCCGCTGTACTCACTGAGGGTGGGCGCCCTGCGGGGCCTCCCGTCCAGCCACCTCATTTAGGGGCTCACACTCAAGAAGGGAGCCCCCAGAGGGCAGGGGTTTTGTCTGTTTTATCCAGTGTTGCATTGTCAGTGTCCTGCACAGGACCCAGCACACAGTAGATGCTCAATAAATACTGAATAAATGTAAGAAAGAATAAATAGATGGGGACACTGTGGCCCCAAGAGGGGAAGGGACCTGCCCAAGCCATCAGCCTAGGAGGCCTTTGTCTCTGACATGAATTTACCCACAGCCAGGCACCCCCAGAGAGTGAGGGGCCCAGGGGGCAGGGAACAGCAGAGTGGCCTCCCTCGGGACCAGATGCTGGGCTCACAGGCAGCAGGGCTGGGCTGGGTCTGTCCCGGGGACAAAACAGAGCCATCAGCAGAAGCAGCCTCCCTGACACCCAGCCCCCCCAATTCTCAATCTAAGCCTTGGGTTTCTGAGCCTGATGGCCCAGGAGCTCCCTGCAGCCTCCTGGGTGGGCTTCCTCCCTGGCCCAGCTGGAATGAAGGCCAAGCGGCCCCACCTGACAGATGCAGCTGTGGCCTGGACCCTGTTGGGTCAACATGGCCGTGTGTACCGACAACACCCACCACTACACTCAGGCCAGGCTGGGCGGGGCAGGACGGGTTCCATCCAGGGTGCCCTGAGGCCTGGCCCGTTTCCAACTGACCACTAACTCGCTGTGCGACCAAGTAGATCATGGGTCTCTCTGAGACCGAGGCTTCTCGTCTGAGAAGTGAAGGGCTTGGCTGGCGAGTCCCCAAGGCCCTGCCCTCCCTCTAACGGCCAGATGAAACCGAGGCCTGACTATTGGACTAAGCGGCCTCTGTTGACTACTCTATTGCCTCAGACCTCTGGGAGTCACAGGCCAGAAGCAGTAATAATCTGTGACATTCTTTAACTCAGAATGCATTCTGAATCCCTATCAAAATTCCAATGGTATTTTTCACAGAAATAGAACAAACAATCCTAAAATTTATATGGAATCACAAAAGACCCCCAAATAGCCAAAGCAATCCTGAAAAAGAACAAGGCTGGAGGCATCACACGCTCTGATTTCAGACTATACTACAAAGCTCTAGTAATCAAAACAGACACACGGATCGATGGAACAGAACAGAGAGCCCAGAAATAAACCCACACATATATGGTCAATTAATTTATGACAAAGGAGCCAAGAATATACAATGGGGAAGTGATAGTCTCTTTAATAAATGGCACTGGGACAACTGGACAGCCACATGCAAAAGGAGGAAAATGGACCCCTATCTTACACCATACACAAAAATCAACTCAAAGTGGATTAAAGACTTGATGTAAGACCTGAAACCATAGAATTCCTAGAAGAAAACATAGACAGTAAGCTCCTTGACATAGGTCTTGGCAATGATTTTTTGGATCTGATACCAAAAGCAAAAGCAACAAAAGCAAAAATAAACAAGTGGGACTACATCAAACTAAAAAGCTTCTGCACAGCAAAGGAAACCATCAACACAATGAAAAGACAACCTGCTGAGTGGGAGAAAATATTTGCATATCACATATCAGATAAGGAGTTAATATCCAAAATATATCAAGAACTTGTATGACTCAATAGCAGAAAAACAAACAATCCAATTAAAAAATGGGCAGATGAGCTGAACAGACCTTTTTCCAAAGGAGACATACAGACAGCCAACAAGTACATGAAAAGATGCTCAACATCACTAATCATCGGGAAATGCAAACCAAAATCACAATCACCGCATCTCTGTTAGAATGGCTAATATCTAAAAGACAAGAAATAACAAGAGTTGATGAGGATGTGGAGAAAAGGGAACCCTTGTGCCCTGTTGGTGGGAATGTAAATTGGTGAGGCCACAATGGAAAGCAGTATGGAGGTTCCTCAAAAAATTAAAAATAGAACTATATGATCCAGCAAATTCCACTTCTGGGTACTTATGTGAAGAAAACGAAAACGCTAATTCAAAACGATATCTGCACCCCATGTTCATTGCAGCATTATTTACAATAGCCAAGATATTAAAACAACCTAAGTGTCCATCGATGGATGAGTGGATAAAGAAGATGTGGTATATATACACAACGGAATACTATTCAGCCATAAAAAAGAATGAAATCTTGCCATTTACAATAGCATGGATGGACCTCAAGGGCCATATGCTAGAGAAACACAAATATCCTATATCTCCCTCATATGTGGAATCTAAAAAAACAAAAACAAAAAACCAAGCCCATAGATACAAAGAACAAATGGGTGGTTGCAAGAGGTGGGGGTTGGGGTTGAAGAAACAGGTGAACTGTTTGTGTTGATTTTAGTTTAAACAAATTGAATTTTTAAAAACGCATTCTGCTCCATTCCTTAACTCAGAATACATTTTTCCCTCCATCGAGGGGAGGAAGGGTGTCCAGGTCCCCGGCCAGCTCATGGGTGTCTGGTTGAGCCGCTAATGCATCCAAACCCAGTGCCTTGCAAGTGGTGTGGGCAGAAGACGCCAGCTCCCCAGCCCAGGCCCTGCCACTTCCTAGCTGTATAACCCTCACCTTCTTCCTCTGTAGGTGGCAGCAGTAACTCTTACCTTGCAGGCGGACAGGACAGAGAAGCTGTATGCAGGCCCCCGATAGGCAGGCACGCCCGACACTTGCTTGCATGAACGAGTACATAATGAGTGCACGCATAATGCACACGTTCTCAACAGGGCAAAAACTGTCTTTGGTATCTACTGATGATACAAAGCACAGATATGCACACAGAACATAAACAGATATGCAGTTTATCTGCATATCTAATTTCTTGGGGTGGATTAAGAAAAAAATACCCAAAAAGGCTCCTTAGAGGGAGGGAGAAAGAAAAAACGGTTGAGAAATACTGTCTTCATGCAAGATTGTGTCTCCGCCCCTATCCCACCCCTGGGCCTTTGCACATGCTCCTCTGCCTGCCTAAACCGCCTCTTGCCACCCGAGTCACTTGAGGGAAAGCCGACATTTACTGCGCACCTGCTGTGTGCTGGGCACCGGGCCAAGTTCCACACTCACATCCTCTCTTTCAATTCTCCCCGGGTCCCCTGAGCTAGGGAGTGGGTGAGGGCAGAGACTCTGGGCTCTAGGCCTGGCTCTGACATGCACTAGCTGGGTGTCCTTCGGCAAGTCACTTAACATCTTGGTGCCTCAGTTTCCTCATCTATAAATGAAGTTAATAGTACCTACTTCAGAGGCTGCTGTAAGGATTAAACAAGTAAATCTATGAAAAGCACTCAGAACAGTGTCTGGCCCACGGGAAGTGCTATATTGGTGTTTGCTGTTATTGTTGTTGTTCCTATTATTCTGGTTTTATATCAGATGAGCAAGCCAAGGCTCAGTGGGGTTGCACCATCTACTTGAAGTCCCAGAGCTAGTTAGTGATAGAACCAGGAGGGGATCCCAGTGGGTCTGACTCTTGCACCTGGGCTCTTAATCCCTTTGCTACTCTGCCCCATACCATGCTGAGCTCAGTGGCCACCTCCTTGAGGAAGCCTTCCTGGATTTCTTCATGACCCACAGGACCATGTGTGCCCCTCCCTCACAGCTCTAACCACTCTGGTCTGTCAGTGTCTGCCTCTCTCAGGGGGCGTTACACTCCTCCAGGACTGTGCCAATCGACTTCCATGTCCCCAGGGGACAGGCAAGGCTGGGCCCAGAGGAGGAACCCCTTGAGAGTCTGCTGAGCAAATGCACGATGATGTAACAGTGCCCCACCTGTGGCCCCATGCTGCCCCCACCCTGCCCCACTGACCTGTAGCTCTCCTTCTCCGAGGGCTCCACAGTGAGGTGGTACAGGTCTCTGGAGAGGCGATACAGGTCCCATTGAGGCCCCCGGGTGCCAGCCTTGACGGACCACAGCAGGCCGAAGAGTAGCAGCAGGCCGCCCGCGCCACAGCAGAAGAAGCTGACCGACCTGAGCAGGGTCCCGGGGGCCTCGGGCACAGGGCGCCCAGTGGGTGGGGCCGGCTGGCCGGGCTGGGCACCTGGATCCCCTTCACTCCACCAGGCGAAGCAGAGTGTGCCGGCCACCAGAAGCACCGTGCCGCCGACCGTCATGCAGTAGCGGAGGGTGGAGGCCACTCGGCGCCCGTCACACATCTGGACACAGAGAATGAGAGAGAAGAGGAAGTGGGCCATGTGGGAGGCCTGCCGGGCCCTGGAGACCCAGGTGTTCGTCCTCCTCTGCCTGAGGCCACTCTGCAGCCTTGGAAAGGTCATTTGATGCCTCTGTGCCTCAGTTTCCTCATCTGTGAAATGGAGATGATGCTCCCAACTTGGCAGGGCTGTTTTGTGTGTCTCAAGTTCCTGGCACCACGCTGGGACCCAGCGGGAGCTCGGTAAGTGTGGCTACGGTCACTCCGGGCCTCTCTCCAGGCCTCAGAGGCCACATCTGCCCGGCGGGTATGAGACTCCCACGTGTCTACCCCAGGCCGGGAGCGTGAACACTTGCCGGGACCGCCAGGCCTGCCAGGCTCGGGGCTGGGAACGCACAGCTTCGCTTCAGCCTGGTCACAGGCCCACGAGGCTGACGCTATCGTCGCCATTTGACAGAGAAAGACACAGAAACCCGGGGCGCGTAAAGGAACACGTGTGAAAGAGGACACTGACGGGTCTGAGGCTGAAATTCACGACAGGAAGCAAGACTTGGTGCAAAAAGATGTCCACCACGGCCTTATTTATAATGGTCCTAATTTGGAAAGAGCCCAAATGTCCCACTACAGGGAAATGGTGAGCAGACCTGGGCATAACCTCTAGGTGGACCATTAATGACTCATTTAAAAAGATCCAGCTCAGTACAAATGTTTAACAACAGGGAGGAAATGCTTGTGATATTGTACTTTTTTCAACTTAGTATACCAAATTATGCATACAGTGTTATCTCAATTAGGTAAAGAAAATGTGCACAGGAAAAAACAAACTGGGAGGGAGCCTGGCCCCAGATCTACAGACAGGACGGGGCTGAAACCCCAAAGCCAGCCTCTAGGCTAACTGTACATCCTGTTCCCTCTGCTGTAACCTCCCGTTATCTCCCCTCGAGGCTCAGCTGGGGCCGCACCCAAGAAGCCTTCGAGGGTCACACTTTACACACCAAGTCCCCTGGCCTTCCTGGACCACAGCACCTACCCGTCTGTGTTTAACTTCTCTGCTTGTCCTCCCAGCAGCCTCCGAGCTCCCCGAGGTCAGGGTCCACATGGGCCCTGTTCTCTGCTCTATCTCCCAGGGCCTAGCACACAGCTGCTCAACAAATATTTGTTGAAGAAATGCTCTTAAATAGGGAAAAGTGTTACTGGGCAAATGCATGTGGCGTGAAAAGTGTCCCTCACAGCTGGGTGGGGCTGGCGAGGGGAGGGAGCGCAGGACTCCCACTGCTCAGCACCCAGCCACGGAGGACCCAGACAGGGAGCACCTAGTCACAGAGCAGAGGCCGGCTGTGGTCTCCACTCCACAGCGCACCAGCTGGTTGCTTTAGGAGTGGACCCCAATCTTTCTGAGCCCCCAGACCACCAGAAGCATATAGAAAAAAAATGCCATTTGTAAATTACCTGCAGTTCCCTTCTGTGAATCTGTCTTTGGGGCAAAGGTCTCATGTCTCCAGCTCAAGGCATTTTCATGGGGGGAAAAAAAGAACCTGACTCCTCCCTACCCAAAGTCAGATGGCTGGGAGAAGCTGTCAAGAGGAAAAGCTGGAGAAACCAGCTTGGAAAAAAAACCCACAAGCAAATCAATCCCAGTAACCCCTAGCCTGCCTACTATGGCACTTGACAGTTGCCCTTCACACCCAGCTTCTCATCTGACTCCCATCACGGAGGCAGGCAGTCAGGGCAAGAAAAGAAAGTCCTGTTTTGCAAATGAGGAGACAGAGCCCAGAAAGGGTAAGGACTCTGCCCAAAGCCAGATACAGCAGGGCTTCTCAACACCAGAAGAACTCACTCCTGCATTAAGATAACTGACGAGGCTTTTTAATTTCTAGAAAAGCAATAGTTGCTCATGGCGGGAAAACGAGAAAACCACAGAAGAGAATAAAAATGCAAAACACCAATCATCAGTAATCCTGCCCCTCGGAGATGAGCACAATCCCCGTGGATGTTTCCTTTCCACTGCTCCCTTGGCCTGCATACACAATGATGGCGGCGGCAGATGTGTGCCAGGCATTTACACGGGCTGGGCACCACACCAAGCGCTTTACAGGTGTCCCCTCACTGAATCCTCACAACAGCATTACGTCCAAGGATACTGGGGCTCCGAAGGTGACAGCTTGTCCAAAGTCAGGGCGGAATTTGAACCCAGGACTAGTCTGACTCAAATCCCTGTATGTGTGCACAGCTAGATCTCTCTATATTTCTTAGTATATGAAGTTGAGATCATGCTGTGAAGAGATGGATTTGTAAGTCTTTGGCACAGGCACTGCCCTCCTTCCTGCTTCAGCTCCCCCCGGCCTCAGACAAGGCCCTGCAATCGTGTGGGGGTCATCTCCTTCTGAGCGGGTCTCCCTCCTTCCATGTGGCTCCCCCGTGGGCAGGCAGAACACATGCTACCCTGCCCTCCCTAGGAGGGGCGCGTGTCCAAGTCCACTGAGGAACGACAGCCTCTCTGTTATGTGGTGGTTTTCTTTATCGTTATAGATCAGGGCTTGGATGGACTATCAGCAGGGTGTCCTGGCCTAAGACCCCCCTGCCTTGTTTCAGAGAGGTGGTCTTCAGGCAGTTTACTCACCTCGCACACACATGGACCCTGCACCCTGATGGAAGAAGAAGAAAGGGCTCCCTGCCCTAGAGGGCAGGACCCCAGCCCCGGAGCAGGGAGGACGCTTCTCCAGTCCTAGAGAAGTCCCAGTCCCAGTCCTGGCGCTCAGTCGGCGCCTGCCAGGCAGGCCCAGCTCCCTCGTACCCCCACACACCCCCAAACTCCGCCACCTGGGGCCTCTACACCTGTTGCTCCTTCCGCCTCCGGAGCCCTCTGTGCCCATTCAGGGCCCTCATTTCACAGCACCCCCCAGCCCAAACACCACCTCCTCCCAGAAGCCTTTCTGCGGCTGCCCCCACCTCCCACCAGCCAGAGGAGGCCTTTCCCTGCATCAGATTTATTGCTCCCTCTGACCACGGTCATTCTATCCCTCAGCTCTGTGACCCTGCTCAGGCTGCCCAACATCTCTGAGCTCAAATTCCTGCCTCCCAGGGAGGAGCAAGCGGTGAAGATGAGATGGCAAGACGGCCAGCTGCACAGGAAGCACGGTGACACAGAGCAGGACAGAGGATGGACCCCGGCTCCGACACAGGGCAAGTGACCCCGCTCCTCCACGCCTCGGCTCCCTCCTCTGTGCTCTGCGCACAACATCTTATTGTCCCTGCTCCCAGCAGGGGAACTTCAGGTGCCATTTTCTGTAAAGAACTAAACCGCCAGGACAAGAAGTGGTCCAGACCATCCCCAGGTAACTGCTGGGTCCCCTGAGGCCCTGAGCGCCGTGGCCCAAGGCCACCCAGCGAGTTAGAACGCAGGAGGAGATCGGGGTATCCAGACTCTGCCCCCGAAGCCACCGCGGTCGAGGTGAAGGGACGGGGTCCGCGCGGGGTCGGCGTTAGGAGGAGCCGAGGCGCTCCCGAAGGAGGGACGGAGGAGCTTGTACCCACCTCGGGCGCGGCCGTCGCGCGGAGGCGGTCAGGCGCGGTCCCGGCGCGGGGAGCCGGGCGCGGGTACG